TAAGGAAAAGAGCTTACCTTAAAGTTACAGCTAATTTCTCCGCCGGTGAAATAGGCTCTCTTACTCTGTTGGTGCGATTTGATTTTATATCGTCTTCAATTAAGTTAAGAACATAGTTAAATTGTTCCCAATTTAATCTAAAAAAATTCTCTGAATTTTTTTTCATCGCTAAACAAATGTTTTTCAATTAAGATACTAAAAAATCCTTCTTTTTTTCTGGATTGAAACATATCATGAACTTCATTCGTCATAACTTGATCAATAATAATTTCTTCGTCTTCTATTTCTTCTAATAGAAGATTAATCAAAACTTTGTTACGCAACATGGTTCACAATTAAATTATTACAAATGATCGGAAATCAACAAGAGACTTGTGATCAATGCAACGCGCAAGGTTGTAATGAATAATGATCGAATATGAATATAATTTAATTCAAAATACGACGTGCCGCGCGTCTGTTGCGGCGCGTTACACCTTAAATTAAATTAAATTAATTAAATTAATTAAGGTTATGAATCTACAGAACCAATTTTCATGTTTTACTTTAATTATATGCATCATTTTACACCATATTATTTGGTGTTACTATCAAAATATTATACTCATCTGATTTTTTGTCGATGTATTAGAATTTTTAGTAAATTGAGTATAATTCACAGTAAAAATATAAATAACTAAATTAATTCTTAATTTTATTCTTTTACGTGATTAAAATTAAAATTAAAATAGAAAAGCGGGGAAGTGGATGTCGTTCTGCTGTACAGTAGGTTACAAGTGGGCCACTGAAATGGATAGTGTTAAATTTTAATTCAATGATATAAAACCATTGTATTCGAAAAACAATTCTGAGCGAGAAGGTTTGTCAGCCTATAGTATAATTACTTAATAATTTAATATATATGATGATATTATTGAGATGAAAGTAATTTATTTTACTATTAAGAGAACCACTTATCGCACGGCGTAAAAACTTCACAGAAACCATATATATACTAATCTTAATATGTCCTGAAATTTTTATTGAAATCGGTTCGGTATATCTTGAGTTATAAAATTTATTCAAAATGTACACTAATTTTTATATATATAGATAGGTAGGCAGTAAATTTAACTTTGATAAACAAATATGGAATATAACACTAGCAACTAGTACATAATATGAATGTCAAATACCTACCTATTAATTATTATTATATTTATTTATTAAAAAGAAAAAAATAATAGAAAATATTCCAAATGTATTAATGTATAAAAAACAATAATTATTTATTTATATTTTAAATTTAAGCTTGGTCCAATCATAATAGTATAGTAGCATAAAAAAGAGAGTTCTGGAGCACCTTCCCCTTAAATTTTACTAGTAAAAGGATAGGCACCTCTGTACAGACAATTCGAAGTACATGCACCTCCCAAACTGGCAATAATTACTCTATATAGGCAACCTGCAACACACATAAACTCGTAACAGCCGCTCATATATTTTTACCCCTTCTCCATTAAATACATTACCCCCCCATTTTATTTCCCCTTATGAAAAAAATAATTGTTTTTTAATATAATACTCTGGTGTTCAATAGAATCGACTACTATATTGGACCTTTTTTTTCCTTGGCATCGACTCTAAGCTTATCAAAATTATTAGTATTCACACATTCATACATTCATGCGTACATACCTACAACCTACTTACATACATACAACATCACGTACATATAAATATCATGAGACCTTACAGACTACATACTATACAACTATATGGTATCGCAAATTAACACATTTTTAAAGCATATGTTACATAAGGTACCTATACATTCACCTTTAATAATTATCACAAACACCTAAACATATTACGTATTTTACATATATTTATAATCACATAAATCTATACATACATCATATAGCATAAAACATTTATAGTATCTACATAATATACACTATATATATTCATACATACATTCTTACATAATATACATACATACAACATCACACACATCTAATCTTCTTAAAAGCTTACATAATACATATCAATATAAGACACTTTGTACAGCCCACGTTTCATATGAGTATTCATAATACAAACATATAAATATCATAACCTTACTTACAGACTACAGTATTACATACACACAGTCACAATTACAATTATAATTCAATATAGTCAACCGTTCATTTACACACACACACACATGCATGGTTCTGTTAAGAACCCCTGAATACTATTAGTTATATTATTCTATAGTTCTTGTAGTATAAATGTAAATGTATAAATGTAATAATATTGTAAACTGATACGTGTGTGACACAGGCGAGTAGGACTCCCTTCTCCATACGACTGGTCTAAGGAATCTGCTGAATAAACATTTTTTGAACGGGCGACCAGCTCGTATGCGGGGCTCGCACACGTACATAGTAGTTAGTGTTGGTGTTACAACAGACCATTACAGACCATTTCAAAGTATTTTTATATTATTAAACGTTATTACAATTAAATAAAGAATATTATTTTGAGCCAAAGCTAAGCTAAGCTAATTTAAACTCGTGTTATTTTATTTGTGTGGAATCGCTAAGTGTGCGTCCATAACATTTTTGGTGGCAGCGGTGGGATACAACTATTAGTCAGTATCCGTTACCACGAGTAAAAGAAATTACGCTATAATTTTATTCTCGTATAATTGTGTGATCGTTTAATCATCAACAACTTCAAAACATTAAAAGGCTCGTCAGAACATTCACAAACTACAGAACATCTACGGAATATTTCAAGTAATATAATTCAATATCATATTATAACGTAACGCGTCGTATTAAACGGGTAAGCACAGCGTGAGAAAGTGTAGCGTCAGCGATTTAACGCAATTCCTCGCACTCGCCCGCCAGCACAATAGACATTATTGTGCAGCCGCCGCCCGAATAGCCGTCGGTACGTCATCGCTCTTAGCTGGAGCCACCGCACCGCACCGTGGACACGAACAACTGGTTGCGTGTGGAGGTAACGCTCTCTAGTAAGTAGTAGTGCAAACGAGAGTTAACGCGATTCAAGCGCCACACAGTGACTAACGGACATTCGATCGAGCTACCGTGAAAAAAGTAGGTCGTGACCGTCAAATTGCTGCCGTCATAGTGTATGCGCCGCCGTAATAGAGTACGCTCCGCCGCTGACGTAAACAAACAAAACGTAAATACGTGATATTATCGTGTATATTAATATACATGCAAATCGTATACTACATATATTACGTGTATTACCATCATCACCGGTATTCGCAAAAAAAAAAAACAGAATAGTTTATCGAAACCCAATAATAATTATTGGTCCCTGCGCCAGCTGTTTCGGGGCGTAGAACTTCGAATCCGAACATTGAAGTCGAAGAGGACAGTCGTCGTTTATAGAGGAGTACGCGATCAATCAACACACCAATTTCCGGAACATTTCAACATCGAACACCATCAGCTCCACAATAATGGACAGGATGTTAGTAAATATACATCGATCCTCGTGAGTTAAAATATTTTTTTTATATATATAGCACAGTACTATAAATTGTTATACTATAATTATTATAATTACTATTATATTAATTGTGTTTGTCTTGCTTTGCCTGTGAGTAGTGATTGCCTATTTGTAACTGCTATTCTATTGCTTATTAGTAAAAAAAAAAAGGGGGTTAATGAATAATTCTGAGGACAAAAATAATTCATTAGATGAACATACCGTTTCACCTACTGATAGCCTTCAGCAGCCCCCTATTCCAACTTCACGGACTAGTTTAACTGTTAGGTATTCGAATCCCCAGGACCCTACTTCTGAGAGGGAAGTCGCTGATATTACGGTAGATCATTTGCTTGTTAGGGAAACAGATTTATCGATAACCACAAATAATTTATTAGTTAACGTATCTAAAGTACTACAAAAAGTAAATAAGAGTATAAAGAGTATAGACAACGTCGTTGCAAAGACAACCATTTCGAACACAAAACATTCCGAACATACAGAAAATCCAGTGCAACCAGAAAATTCAGAACAAATAAAGGATTACGAAAACACCACAAATTCGGAACAACAAGAACTAGAGGAGAGTTACTCAAAAAATCGAATTGATTGGACTGAAGATCTAAGTAAACTCGATCACACGAACATGGCAAATGAACCGGGAAGCCAACAAGAGGAAACCGTACAAAACGCTAATGTGGGAACTCTGACTATCACAGAAGATCAACTGTCACAGATCATTAACCAAAAGGTACAAGAGGCACTCAGGATACGAAATGTCCCTCAAACAGTAGAGGCGATGTCCAGCAACCAGATATGACTACAAGACGCAATCAGGCTATTGCCAAAATGTGGAAGTATTCCTGGAGAAATGCGATTTTGCTGTATCTTGTACGGTGCCTACAGCTATTTCACGGTTGGTACAAGCAATTCAAACCAGATTAACGGGAAAGGCCCGACAGGTAGTAAAATATCAGAACTTTGAGTCTTGGGAAGAATTAAGGGATCTTCTAAAATCAAATTTAGAACCCCAGAGAACTACCCAACACTTGTATCAGTCTTTATATGCTACAAAACAAAAAACAGGAATGGATATATTAACTTATTCCAAGGAAATAGAGGCTCTTCAAAATACAATTATTGAACAAGAAACAATTGGATGTACAATCGAGGTAGCACAAGCACTCGAGAGAACAATAAAAAGACAAGCCCTACAGGTATTTATTGAAGGGTTAGGAGATTTAAAAAATTATATAAAAGCCAGACATCCAGATTCTCTTTTCAACGCGATCCAAGCGGCTCGGGAAGAAGAAATAGTAAGAAAATCATCAGAGGAATCCAAAAAATTATATAAGCCAGCAGCGACCTCAAAAACCCAGCCAGGAGTATGTAATATTTGAAAAAAAACCTGGGCATTGGGCACGAGATTGTCGATATGCGAAAGCAGACAATAGGAAAACCAAATAGAATACTACTCCAGCAACAGTCGCTACAGTTAGCACAGTGACCTGCCAGTATTGTAAGAAGCCTGGGCATACGAAAGAGGTGTGCCGAAAATTGAAGTATGTACAATCAAAAAGAAATGATGCTGACAATAAACAGGCGGAAAACTCCCAACAACCGGGCCCTTCCGGCAGACGCCCGGTAATTATACACTGATAAAATCACTTATAATACATTCACGTTACACTTGAATAAAATAACCACAGATAAAGGTTGATCAACAAGGCATTCAATATAAATGTTTTTTTCTTATATTCTGTTGATATATGCTGAAAATTGATTCGTCTTTTTTGGGACCCATGAAGTGTGTATAATTATTTAATTATGGAATTTCAGATGATAATATTTTGGTTTGGATTTCACACCAGGAGCCCTTCTATGGGTCTTCAATAAATGATATAGTCAACGTATTGATTGATTTTTGACGATTGAAATATATGATACAATTTTAATTAAACTATTATTACTTTGTTAAATGGCTACAGCATAGACAACCCTACTATATTATAAAAACGCCACTAAAGTTAAATATAGAAAAAGATAAATATATACTACAATGTGCATCGGATAACAGTTTGATCACATTATGAAAGTTAAAAGTGATTATTTAACTGATGATTTTTGTTTATTGATCAATATTTTTTTCAAATCGAAAAACAGATGATTGATAACAGTGCATAAACAAGTATCAGGTCCACAATCACAATTTTGATTTGACCACGTACATAAAGTAAAATGATTATTGTTTTTTTCTGTTCCGCATTTGATGGCACCGCTTTTTAATTTTGATAATAATGTATAAAATTCAGCTAATTCCTTGAAGCAAAAGTGTGATGGATGAAATATACCCATATCTGAAATGTCTCGTTCAATTTCTTTTAATAAGTCCATTGTAAATAATAACACACAATTCAACGGCCACTAATAAACTGGCACCTACGGGTTAAGTTGCGCTTTATTATAATATAATATAATCAGATAATTCAAAACCTAATTACTCAAAAATTAAAACATAATTTATTTAAAAACAAAAATTAAAGTTTATGAATAAAAACAGAAAAACAAAAAACAAAAAATGTAAACTCATGGCCTAGTTGACCCTGGCACTGAGTGTAGTATTAGCATACTTACTTACCCTAAATTCAAATTTATCACACTCTAAACTCAACGCCTTAGTCCACTAGGCCATGAGTCTACAAGTTATTTTATTAATATTTGTACATATAAGTTAAATAATGAAAAAATAAAAAAGTTTGTATGGGCCACAAATAATAATAATCATTGTTTGTGAAAGTGGCAATCGTTTTTGAATCATCCTGTAACGAGTAAATACTTGATAGTTAAATAACTAAAGGCTTATCGCCTATAAAAACTTGGATAGAAAGCACCCAAAAATCTGATTGATCAAGCGGAAAAGTCGTGGACAAACGTTTTTTAATCTCCCTGTAATTGTAAAAATCGGTACAGAACCGACATATTATACTTACTATCATCAACCAACAAACGAATTAATAACTCTGGTGGTGGACCCAAAACACGGTCTCCTGTAACAGCCATTTGACCATTATTGCAACACGTAGAAAAATGACCCGTTGAAGTACGCTCGCAGGAGAAATGGCGGGCACCACAGTGTGGGCAGACAACATTCAATGGTCCTATGTCATGCCGATCTGGAAGTTCGTGTTGAATGCCAGCCGGACGGTCTCTCATGGGCGCACGTGCTCTCGGTACAACAGGAGGAATCGGTACGAACTGCAATTAAAATGCACAGTTATTAAGAATATAATGTTTTAATTGTTTATTTTGATTTTAATAAGATGTATTTACTAACTTCTTCATTTACGTCTGGTAGTAAAACGTCAAGTGCATCCCTGAATTCATATTCTGCCTCTTCGTCAGCAGTAAGTAAATCCACATACTCAATGTCATCTTGTACCACTTCCTCTGGTAGCATTTCTTCTTCAGCTAGGTGCATCATTACATCTTCCACTTGGACTTCGACAACTTCTATCTCCATCCCGTTGTTACCAGGGATTGCCACTTCTGCTTCCAGTTGACCACCTGGTGTCGCAATCTCAAGGAGTGGTTGAACTACCTACAGTATCAAAGGAAATCCGTTGTAATGAGTGTATAATAACAATCTCAAATATTATCAGCTTAAATTTTCAACGTATGTGTTGTATGTGTTATTATTATGATGATATTTAACTGCATATCAATGACATGTGATTTAATAAGCATATAAAAATCAGCTCACCAATAGGGAGTGTAATAAGTACAACACTTTTATAATTAAATAAATTAAAAACTGTGCATAGAGAGTATGGTGCAATCAATTAGTTAGTAAAATTTAAGGTCCATGTAATGGTGAATTACACTAAAGAATGAATAAAGTTGAATAGTAGCATCTCAAATGTTATAAGATTATAAGCATTCAACATATGTGTCATATGTGATATTATAATGTTTGACTACATATCAATAACACGTGACTTAATATAAGCATATAAAAATTGCTCACCGATAGGGAACGTAATAAGTACAGCACATTTTGAATAAATAAAAAACAGTGTGGAGAGCATATTGTAACCAATTAGTTAGTAACATTTAAACTACACGTTATAGTGAATTGCATTGCAGACCGAATAAAGGACAATAGCAGCAATTATTGAATAGTTATAGCTGTAATAATGTAAGTAATTATTTTACATAAATAAAATGAATTGTAGCCTAGAGAATGTATCCCTACTGATAATAATGAAACAATACATTTAAGATACACATAGAGGTGGTGTATCGTGTATAAATGTAAGTGTAAAAAGAACAAAAGTATTATTATGATTATTTCAATTAAATTATAAGAAAAAATACTTTATCATATTTGAATAGTAATATGAATTAAACAATTGGTATTTCAATGTAAAGTAATTTAATCAATTGTATCTATAAGCATGACATTATATGTTAATAAATAAATGACACCATATGGCATTATGTAATAATAATTATTAACTTAATGCAACTGCTACAGTCTAAGTTGGGTTTATGTGTGGTTTGGTGTAGTGTTGTAACAGTGTCATTGGAATACCTAATAAAAATAGTCATTATACACTCACTAAAGATGGCACCGCTCTTGAAAACAGACGACGACGGATGTTGTCTTTCTCCTTCATAATCACGACCTAGTACGAAATGTCTCGAGCACACTTTTGAGTTGGCCAAAATCTGTTGTGCATTTATACCACAGTTCTCGACAATCAACACCCACTGACGTCTGCGGCGGTCATTCGGTGGAAACCTAATTTAACCATTACATTATGAGTAGTTTTAGTGTAAGTTTAGTATGAATTGTTAATAAATTTATTGTAACCTGTGCAACGAAACTCCATCAACACCATCGACGTTTCCGCAGATCACACACAATCTAACCATGGTGATGTGCCTTAATTTTGACATTTTAAAGAAAATAATATGTAATAGCATCATATTGTAAACGTAATTAATATTATATGTTAAATAGCATCTGTATTTTTATTCTTAAAAATATGTAGGCTAAATAGTGAATAATAAGCGTAATAATATGTATATTTTACGAATACACGAGTACACGACACTCAGCGTCGTTATAACGTTATTATTAATCACTATTATAATCACTCATCAGTGCCCGATGATACGGCAATACGGGAATTCCATGAGTTTTGTGTTATATTTAGAAAAAGTGAGTATACGGTACACATCTAATGATGGTACATATAATATACACAGAAAACAATGTTTAAGAAATTCTCCTGACTTACAAAACAAAAGCGTACGAAGAGAATCCAAAAAAATATCGCGTTGAAAAACTGCGCCGTACGTAACGGGAATGTGTTTCAACAACTACCGACCGATGATCTCTTGAAAGAATGTAGTAATGACATCACACATTGAAATGCAAATAAAAAAACACGACACCTTCGAGACACCAAGTTTGGATTTTGAGGGAGTACGCTCGGGAAACAATACATGTCGCTTTTTAAATCAGATGTAATTTAATAATTGGGTGACTGTGATGATGTATAAGTACACGGGGTGAACAATTAAGCTTTTAAATAATAAAAAAAAGAATAGTACTCACCAGTCTACAAAACGCCAAACGTAGTAAAAAAAAAGGAAGGAAAAAAAAGGTAAGAAAAAAAGAGTGCAAATTTGTATAGTAGTAAACGCAATTACTAAAAACGAACGTTTCGCACAGACGCTCGGCGAAGAAAGTCTCCCGAAGTCGGAGCGGAGAGCTGACCCAGGTCCATTGCGCTCTCCGCCCTCTACTCCGCCACCACATGACGGCGGTTGCGGTATTACCAAAAGTTGCCCATCTAATTTAATTTGTTTACAATAAGCTTTTTTTCAATGGTCAACGATTTTGACAGACCCTCGGTATTGGTAATGACATCGGTAAATACGTAAAATGCAAGGCAATACTAAACGGTGGAATGAATTCTATATTTATTTGCCATCGACCAGTGGAAGTGAGTACACGTATCTTTATTATATTTTTCACTTTTTTTTTTTGTTTTTTTTTGACAACTTGCCTAATGTTAGTTTTTCGTTGTAGAATGTTTCAGTTTACAAATTGTTCGGTGACGGTGGCTGCAAGCCCCGTCACCAATAGTTGTCTGCAATTGTAGCACCAAAAAGTATGTATAAATATTGTCCATTGTCATTACGTGTACAGTGTGTCCCGTTTTAAATGTACCACTAAATAACTCAGCTCGATAATCTTAGTTTGCTGCAATAGCTAATGGGTACTGAAGTACACATTTAAGGACAAATTTCAAATTTTCAACTCTTGTAGTATGCTCATGGGCAATACAATTTTTTTTTTAAAATTGCAACACCTATTTTTGTCACCGGATATGGATAGATTATTTATTCTAAGTAATTTTGATCCGTTGATTATAGTTGTAAACCTAAAATTGAATGAGTTACAGCTTTTTGACATTTTAAAATAATTAAATTTTTTCGATGGATCAAAATTACTCAGAAAAAAATAATCTATCCATATCTGGTGACAAAAATAGGTGTTGCAATTTAAAAAAAAAATTTGTATTGCGCATGCGCATACTACAAGAGTTAAAAATTTGAAATTT